ATAAATCTGTTCTGAGTCTCAACACTAGTCCCAGCAATTCCAGAACTAAGTTATTTATAGAATAATTAAATATTAGGAGTAGAAATGCTCTCAGAGTAATCTGGAGAGTGACACATTTCTTTATGTTAAAGATGAAGCAATTAGAACCCAGCAAAGCTCAAGACTTGCCAGACCAAATGTCCTAGTGTCCTGATGAGGCCTTGTCCTCAGGTGTGCTGACCCTGTAGCCATTGTTTGACCATGCGCTGTCCCCAAATGCTGTTTTTCTCTTTGGAGTAGACCCTAATTCTTTGTTCCTCCAAAATGCAACTCTTTTAAATAGACCTCAAGGGCTGGTAAGTAGGGGGCAGATTTGGAATGCTTGCACATGGCCATGTTTTCCATCCTCCTGGACTGATGGGAAGTGCCACACAGCAGGAACAGACCTCTTCTCTTCAGAGGCTGGGATTCCAGAGCTTCTGTCCTGTAGGCCTAAGAAAGGTCAATTAGGGGTTAATAAGAATGAAGCACCATTTTCCAAACAGATCCATTTGGGGTGGATTCCTACACCCAACTTCACTATTTTCAGATTTTCCATATCCATCAATGTGAACAAGAACTCAAAAGCCAGGTCCAGGAAAACCCAAATAGAGAACAAGCTAGACATTCATTTGCATTAAGACAGACTCAGGGGTTGAATGGGCAGTAGCTGAAACCTGAATACTCCTGCCTTTCACATAAGGACAGCTCTATCTACCAATGGCCAAACTTCTTTAGCAAAGGACCCTGGAAGAGACAACCTATTTCCCTCAGGGAAACTCATAATTAGGCTTGGACTTGTCTTTTACAGCCTTCCTACATCCAGGCACAATAGCATCCAACAATCGAGATAAAAGCATGGCTGAAGAGTATGTTCAAGAACAGAGTAAGGTAGGTGGTGAAAATAACCAGCAAGTGTATTTCTGAGGCCAGCCAAGTTCACTGAGTGATTCCATGAGGTAAAGTAATTTGTCCAAGGTCACACAACAAGTTAACTTTGGACTAAAAAAACCCAAGGTTCGACATCAAAGTTACAACTAAACTACAGAACAAGCATCATTCAAAACCGCCTGAAATCAAGCTGAATGGAAGTCCTACAACTACGAGTCTGGTAGGAGGGGCGGAGGCACGATGGGCTGGTCCCACACCCACACCCATGTGTGGCGGATAAAAATCAGGAGGATACCTCGTCTGGGAAGGTCCTCCCTGAGGATCTGAGGGGTTCCTGTCCCACACCAGACCAGGAAGAGAAGTCCCCATAACTTCTGGCTGGAAAAACCAGCGAAACTGAGGCTCAGGGAAGCTGACGCGACTGGAGCCCTAGGCAGCTCCTTAAAGGGCCCGCGCACAGACTTATCGAAATCACTCCCTCTAAGCTTGGAGGGGAGGCAGCTTGAGGGGCGCCAGAGACATACAGGGAAGAACTGAGCTGTTTGGCACTGGAGCAAGGGCTGGAGAGGGGGCTTTCTCCTGGACAAACATGCTGTTAGAGGCCTTTGTTCCTTTGGTGAGCCCTTCCCTGGGGCAGCAGACAGTCGCCATATCTGGGACTCCAGCAACCTGGCTCACACTGGTAGCCCTGCCCTGGTGATTCCCTGAGGCCCCGCCCCACCCAGCTTTCAGGCCCACCCAAGCTGTTGCTACTTGCTTAACCATAGGATTGGCCTGTCTTGGATCCTGCTTCAGGTTTTCCTAAATTCTTTCAAATAAGCAGCATCTGGTCTCAGATGGCCCCATACCTCTCGTTAAGTAATACACAGAAACAAACACTGGGAGGCAGCCAAAATGAGGAGACAAAGAAACAGGTCCCAAATGAAAGAACAGAACAAAACCCTAAGAAAAGAACTAAGCAAAATGGAGATAAGCAACCTAACAGATGCTGAGTTCAAAATACTGCTTATAAGGATGCTCAATGAACTTAGTGAGAACCTCAGCGAACTTAGTGAGGGCCTCAAGAGCATAAAAAAGGACCAGTCAGAAATGATGGATGCACAGTCAGAAATAAAGGAGGCATTAACTGAAATAAAGAATAATTTACACAACTTCAATAGTAGAGTACGTAAATCCAAGAAGCAAAGCATTGATTTGGAATATAAAGGAAGCAAAAAACGCCCAATCAGAACAGCAAAAAGAAAAAAGAATCCAAAGAAATGAGGATAGTGTAAGGAGCCTCTGGGACAACTTCAAGCGTGCCAACATTCGCATCTTGGGGGTGCCAGAAGGAGGAGAGAGAGAACAAGAAATCGAGAACCTATTTGAAACAATAATGGCAGAATACTTTCCTAACTTGGTGAAGGAAACAGACATACAAGTCTAGGAAGCACAGAGAGTCCCAAACAAGATGAACCCCAAGAGGCCCACACCAAGACCCATCATCATCAAAATGCAAAAGGTTCAAGACAAAGAGAGAATCTTAAAAGCAGCAAGAGAAAAGCAGTTAGTTACCTACAAGGGAGTTCCCATAAGGCTGTCAGCTGATTTCTCAAAAGAAACTTTGCAGGCCAGAAGGGAGTGGCAAAAAATATTCAGAGTGATGAAAAGTAAGAACCTACAACCAAGATTACTCTATCCTGCAAAGCTGTCATTTAGAATTGATGGCCATATAAAGAGTTTCCCAGACAAGAAAAAGTTAAAGGAGTTCATCACCATCAAACCGTTATTATATGAAATGATGAAGGGTCTTTTTGAAGAAAAAGATAAAATATATGAACAAACAAAATGGCAATGAATACATATCTGTCGACAATGGAATCTACAAACAAAATGAACAGGCAGAACAGAAACAATCTCACAGATACAGAGAACATTTTGTTGGTTGCCAGATGGGAGGGGGGTTGGGGGAATGGGTAAAAAAGGTGAAGGGATTAAGAAGTACAAATTCATTGCTAGACTGACAAACCTCAAAGGGAAAAGGGTTGGGGGGTTGGAAGAAATAAACCAAAGAACTTATATGCATAACCAATGGACACAGACAATAGTGTGGGAAAAGGCGGGGGGAGGGGGGGGGAGGAGGGGAGTTGGGCGGGTCAATGGGGGAAAAATGAGGAACATCTGTAATACATTCAACAATAAAGATTTAAAAAAATAAATAAAAAATAAAATAAAATAAAAAACCAAGGTTTCATTACAATACAAATCAATACCAACATTAACATAATGTCAATGTCATGCACAAGTTCTAGTTACATTGAATAGCTTTGTCTAAATCAACATTCACTTTGGAATGCTATTTGAAAACTTATTCATATAAAGTTCTTCAAAGGAATCAAATCAAGTCACTAAAGGACACAGGAAAGCTGTTAACACCATTCAGTAAGACACCATGTCTGTGTTCATTTGTCCCTGTAACAGTTTCTTCCAGAATGCCTTCTGTAAAGACCTACAATGGACAATACAGTTGCCAGGACAAGCACTCACCTGTGAGTTCACAGCTCAGATTTGCAGCGATACAGATACACAGCTGCCTCCAATGGCTCTTTCAACTGAGAGATGAATAAAAGCAAGTCATTTTGGTGCCGATCACTGAACTCTTGAAGAAAGTTTCTAATGAGAAGTGACACAGTAGACGTTTAGCAGCTTCACATATACAAACATAGTAAGAAAATCAGACAGGAAATATTGGAAAGCAAGCTTGCTTACCTGCTCAGGTCCAAACTCCATCACCAATTCTGTGGCTGCCGGTATTCTTACACACCCCTCACCTGTGAGCTGAGGCGTGTCTGGCAGGTGCAATAGGTGATTTTTTTTTCAGGTGCAATAGTTCTAGTAACTCTGCATTCAGTAACAGCAAACCATGACCTTAATGAAAATGTGTATAGGGCTTTGCTTGAAATCCATATAGCTTAAAATATAAATCCCAAATAAGTTAGATATCCTTTCCCCATTTCAGCTAAGGGCATGTTTTTCATTTCCTACTCCCTTTCAACAAAAGTAGGGGGCTCTCTGGATGGCCTTTCAGATGATCCACATTTCTAAGATCCACCCAACATAAGTCTTGAGACACTACAATGAAGTCAAGGGAATAAAGTAATTAAAGATAAAATAAGCCACAGATATAAATGGGACGCGCTCTAATAGGTCTCTATTGTGCAACCATCTTGCTGGAGATTTCTAAGAAGTCTTAATATTTCTTTGAGTCACTCAAGACTTCCAGGACTAAGAATACTTTTCCACCGCTTTGGAAAATTGGTTCCATCAGCAGCCATAAAACCTGTTAAATTTTATATCAATATTTAAAAAAATGCAGCAGGAAGGCAGGCACTAATTTGTTCTATGCTTTATTTATTTAACTTATTAAATACCTACAATGAACCAGAAATAAAACTTTGTTGTTAAAAAAATTCAAAGCTGTAAAATATGGCCCCAAAGTGAGAGGTTACCAAAAGCAGCTGGAAAAGATAGAAATCATTCACTCCCAAAATTCTGCTTTGCAGCTCAACTGAAGATCAAAATCCCCAGAACCAAGGGAAACCCCAAGATGCAGAAGCCCCTGTATAATGCCCAAGGAAGGAGCTCGTGAGTCCAGCCCAGGATGGAGCGGACAATAGCCCAGGCTCTGACCTTATACAGTAAGGCATGGGAGCACGTCTTGATCTTGGTAGGATCTCCCAGGTTGACCTCCAATTTGGTTTTAAATTCCTGGCTTTTTTCCCTTTTCCCAGTGGAAAAAAAGGTAAAATAAACCAAAAGAAAAAAACTTCATTGGGATATACACTCATTCTCCCAGTGACTGTGTTAAGTCAAATCTAAAATTAAAGTCAACAAATTGTGTGGTTTTCTTCATCCTTCATTAATGATGAAAACTGTGCACTCAAAAACTACATTAAGACAATGTATTCCTAAAGAGTAATCCAGCTTTAATCGTAGGGCATTGAATCACCTTGCAAACAAATTACAGCCACTATAATTTATCAATAGATACTATACTTGTACTGTTGTTGTTTGGTTTTGTTTTTTGGCGCTTTTTTTTTTTTTTTTTTTTTGCAAACTTAGAACCAGAGAACAAAATGTTGTCTTCATTATCGTGTAGAAAAATAAAACAAACCTAAAGCATCTACCTATGTGTCAAGTGATTCATAGTAAAATCTACACTTACAGCAGAGTTTTAAAAATCCTTAGTGCAAGAAACATGACCAATTAATACAGATCAATACTTATTAATGAATATGGAAAATTTTCCTATACAGAGGTAGAGTCCAGTGCACAAGGCTAAAACAATATTCAATAGTCTAAGCAAAGACTGAGCCATGTTTTATGGGATTCGCTTTAAATTTTAAGTTATCAGACTATTGTACATACAATATATAGACTATACAATTTTAAAGTAGTTTAATAAACTTCACAAAATAATAGTAGATGCATTGAAATATTTATATAATTCAATTTTCAAATATCAGTCAAATAAAAGGAATAAAAATAAGATTTCTGCTTTTAAGGCAGAACTACTTTCCTGAAATGGATCAGTAAAATAAGATACTTTACATGAGAGGAACTAATTTATGCTTGAGAGGTATTCATATTCAGCTAAGAAAATATGTCCCTTTTTAAGCTCTATAGAATAGGGAATATAAAATGATATTTTCTAAATTTTAAGATCTCTAAAGTTCTAAATCCCAGTCTTACTTGAAGAGAGATGCTGATTTTGGTACCCATACAGAGTATATCAACACAATTACAATGGAAAAAATAATTAACTTTTCCTTTTCTGCTTGCTTGCTTTTGAAAGTTAGGTCAGAAAGAACTTGACAATATTTCTGATCCAATTATGTTACACATGACACAAATTTCATCGAAACCTGACTAGCACTTTCAACTTGGTGTTCTTGGGATTTCAACTTTTCTGATTTCCTTTCATTTCCAAAGGGTATTAAAGACTAATAATATAAGATTCCAAAGTTCTCTGAGCTCACATAGAAGGAAGGTGAAACACAGTATCTGCTGCATTTGCCTCATAGAGACTTGAAAAAGGAAAACAAGTTAGAACCTGTCATTGTGACCCAAGAAAATAGCAAAAATCCAAAGCATTCTATGCTTCATTGATGCAGATTCTTAGACTTAATATTAAATTTACTCTTTGATATTTGATCATTAACCCTTCTGATATAAAAGATTCTTATCTAGTCCATAAGGATATTAGGGATAGTCAGAAAACAAAAAAGTATGGTCATAATTAATGAAGCATAAACTTTCACAGTTTGAATTTTGTATAACTTCTCTAAGCACCCACAATGAAAATGTAAGTTTCTTTTTTATTCAATAATTCTGTGAAAAATACCTCAGTAAATAGTAACATTTTGCTCTTCAATAATCTTCCCACTGGACTACCCACCCCACCCTCATTTTTTAATTTTAGATTTTTTAGAAAATTTATACAAATAGACTAACTTTGATTTAAAGTAAATATATAAAAATTGACAAGGATATTGCTTGCAACAACAGATGTGGAAGTAGAGGAATGAACTGGGCAGACAGTACAAAAAAATTGCTCCTATTCAGTAACTTCAGGCAAATACCTAGCACTCTGGAAAAAAATCTCAACCAAGGACAGCCCCTACCACACACTGTTTCCTTGGCCCACAAGGTATGACTGATTTATAACTAGGACTTCAGGTCATATTATAAAAAACAACTGCATGAAAATTGGAAGGAAAGGCACAAGCACCCATGTTATCTAGATTTGTGTGTGTATGTGGTGGGAGGTTAAGAATAAAGAAGGAAAGGGATACTTTTGGTTCAGTACTACAGTCAATTTTGTCAGTGTTGAAGAAAAACTGTATAAAATAAAATGGTAGAGAAGTATAACAAGTGTGTCCTACTTGTGAGGAAGAAAGCTCAGGAGACAGCTCGCAGGAGTAGTGCAGAGAGAAACAACCAGTACTATTTATTTGGATGTCTGTGCCACGATACAAACTATATTCTCTGCTCTGTGGGGCCAAAACCAAAACAGAATAAAAACCAACAAAAATCCCCCAAATACTAAAAAAGCAGCTAGAAGGAATGCAAGAAGTCGTCAAGAACAAACTGGCCCAGACGGAGGTGATCAAGGTGGCACTCTTGTCTTTAATGCACTTCTAACTGTGTTGCCTACTGTTCTGTTTACTATGGAATCACCTACTGACCAGATGGGGGTTTAAGAAATGGCCATGTCATTTAACCATTTTTCCTGCCTCTGCAAAACTTCCTTTTCCCTTTATTTCCTCCGCCAGGATTCAAGTCTTTTTCCTCCAGGAAGGAAGTGCTGTTAATGACGACAGGGCAAGGTGTGAAACAGGATTTCCAGAATACTAATTTTGCTTCCCTCGAAGCCTGGCTGCGTGTGGGTCACACAGCTCTAAGGCAGTCATCAAAGCAGCCTGATGGAGCTATGAATCAAAAAGAAAAAAAAAGGAAAGAAACAAAAACAAAACCACCCCAAGTCTGTCTTTTCTTAAACTAAAGAAGCTGAGGGATGGTACAGCCGCCAGTGGGGATGCCCACAGTTAGGAGATGATGGCCGGGGACCACCTCGGCAGAGTCAGATTGTCAGCACTTGCTGACCGCTTTCTCGTGGGTCTCCTCAGGTCCTTATACTTGTCCTCGCAGAGGCGAGAAATGGCCTGATGGACAGAAGAGAGATAATTCAGGTCAGGGCTGGACCCTGGAAGCTCCCTCCACCCATTCACTCATCCAATACCAAGCACCGCTGTAAGCAGCATCTTTCTAGGCACGGAGGACACTCATGAACAAAACCAAGAATAGGCCCTGCCCCATGTGGTTCATACCACAGCCCAGACCTGTGTCACAGGGTGGGATACAAAGGAAGTGTAGACACAGTCCTGTTTTCAAAGTACTTACAGTCTAACTGACAAAACAATTTCAAAATGTGAAACAACTATAAGACAGTGTAGCCTGGGGGTCAGCCAGCTTCAGGTTTAATGCTGGCTCCCCACTTAGGGGTGTGTGACCTAGATATGTGCCCCCATTTAAATCCTTAGCATCCTTGTCTGCAAATAGGGCTGAAACAGCACCCTCCTCACAGGATGGTTGTGAAGCAGTGGAGCTCCATGCTGGACCTGCGCAGGGAGAGCACAGTACTTGGCCACGACCAACCATTAATCAGAGACCAAGTCACAGCAGAAGGTGAAGAGTGTTTGAGTCACCTTTAGACCACTGCCGCAGAAGAGAACCAGAGGGCGCACAGAAACATGGGATGCAGACACAATCAACACTGTCTTCATTTTGCTGATAAGGGCAGGGACACTCTAGGTAAAGGGCTACAGCTAAAAGCAGAGCCAGGCCTGCAATGGGATTGGAATCTGGCCATAGCTCTCCCAAGGGCTCATACCACCCCAGGGGGCTTGTCCCAGGCACATTCACCTGACATCTGTACGATGATCCAGGGGTGGGAGTGACATTACTAAGCAAGGATGAGGTCTTTTAACTTCCACACAATTCCAGAGAAAGGCCAGGGATTGTGCCAGGGCTAGGGGGACAGACACAGTGTTCATCTGCCAGGAAGTCAGTCAAGGAAAAAAAGCATAAAAGCAGCCACCCACTTCTCACCCTGTGCCCTGATCAGATCCCATCAGCTCTTGCTAAGACTGCAGAATAATCCATGAAGTTGGTCTCCCATTTCAGTTAAAATTTTTTATTTATTTATTATGTTTATTGTTTAATGTCTGTCTCCTCCCAGTAGAATGCCAACTCTATAAAAGCAGGCTCTTTGAGCTCTGTTCATGACCATTCCCAGGGCAAAGCTGTAACCAGCACCTGGTATCAGAGGGCCCTGAGTAAATATGTATTGAATGGATATTTAAGTTCTAGTCAAGATATGCACATAACAGACGCATGGATATAAGAAGGGTATGGTAAAAATACTAAAAACAGAGGGGTATAAGCAAATGATTCTATTTTGGGGAATCCTTGAAGATATACTCATAACTGAGGATAGGCATCAAAACTAGGCTTTAAGGGCTGTGCTTGAATGGGGAGAGGAAATTATCAGGAGGGATCCAGCATTTTCAGCAGAGCAGTGTGCTGGTGTGGTGAAAGGTGGCTGAGGGCACAGCTGGGGGATAGCTACCGGCAGGCAGCAGCAAATGGAGAAAACAGAGCTGACTGAGCCTGTCTGACACAGCTGCTCACACACTGGCTGGCTCAGGTATTATTGTGTGGTGATGCAAAACTGCCAGCAATTTTAAAAATTAACATTCCAAAACCTACAACTGCATTTTAGAAAAGCAATTCCATTGGCAGCTTGGCAGATAGACTGGAGGATAGACAGGAGTCAAGATGTCTTCCTCCAAATGAGAGGTGAATCAGGGTAGCAGGCAGGCTGTAACATTGAGAATTCTTCGTTTGAAATATGTTTCACACATGTAATATTGGTGGCATATTTAAAGAGAAATTAGATTCCTTAAGGGCATTAGAAAAATCCATTTTTAAAAGCAAATTATTTTTGTTTATTAAACTTCCTAAGATTACCATCTGTTGTTTCTCAGCTTACAAACAGTATGAGTCTGAATGCAATATCATAGCAAATTAACAATGTGCTAGTTTATTCTAGATTTTATTATACAAACTGATACTAGCTTCATTCACATCTTCCATGTGCACAGAGGAATACTAGTTTATTTCAAAGAGAAATAACCCTGCTAATAAAAGGACCACTTTGCATTTGCCCTGGTTCTTGGTGAAGTCTTTGTTTGTACACTCTACCCTGCAACCATCATATCAAAACAGCCAGCCAATGGGACAGCTGAATAGGCACAGAACTTCAGGTTATGGCAACTCCTATGAGGTCTCGGTCTTGCTTTCCATTATGGGTTTCAAGTTTGGTAACCAAATGGACTAACAGGAAAGCTGGAATCTGGAAAACAATCAAACCCATTCCTAAGAAATGATTTCAAAGGGGCACCATTTGCTTTCCCAGAGAGTGCTCCAGTCCAGCCCTATAGAGAATGGGAAGGTCTATGCCTCAAGAAGAAAGAGAACATTCGTCAGACTACTGGCCTTCCTCCTGCCTGTGGGGCACTCGGCATGGCTGCACCAGGAACAGGTGAGTTCTACTCTCTTTCCACTCAGATAAGCTAACAGAGTAAAAATAGGCACAATTCCCCCAGTCTCAGCCAGCCTGGGTGCTCCCTGTTTAGCTAACCTGAACCACTAAATATTCTCGCTCTGAGAACCACAGACCTGCTTTCCTTCAGGGTCTAGTGGCTCCCAGGAGCTCTAAGCTCTTCTCCTCACCTCAGCACTGGAAGAATGACATGAGCCCATCTCAGCAATTGAGGGGTGCAAGGACTGCTGCAAATACTAAAACAGGGTTCATGCTCACCCTGATAACAAACTCTATTTCACGTGTGTGCTTGCAAAGGTTTGACAATATGTGCCTTGGAGCAAGTCCTCCAGAGGAAGGGTTTTCCATTTTTTGCTTCTGAATACAAGAAAAATGGGAAACTTAATGAGCGGTCTCATTCCAATGGCTGGTACACAATGACAGAAAAGTGGCCAAATTCTGAAAACCTCACTGGATTTTTATTTTAAGCCCAGTGCTGTGCATCCAGTCTTTTCCAAACTTAGTTTTACTAACTTTCCTTTCTAAAATTAGTACTATTTACTTTTTAAATTTTTATCTAAATTTGTTGCTTTCTTATGCCTGAAATCCACAGTTTGCTTAATCCAAACCCTCTTCCTCCCACCTCTAGACCTTGTTTTGTTTGAAGCTATTAACTCTGGTAAGCCACCTCTCTGGCCATCTTGATTCTGTACTGATCAGGGGAGGGTGTTTCACTAGAGATAGAAAATGGGGTAGGCAGAATGGACCTCTTGGGTCTCACCTATCTTGGGACATGACTGTACCATCTACTGCTTTGGTCAAAAGTCCTATGGAATGAGACCAACACATGGTGTGTGGAGATGAAAATGCAAAGAGCCTCTACACACCTGCTCTGGAGGAGGGGAGTCTCACCAGTGAGCCTTGTAGAATCCCCATCACTTTTCATCCAGTTCAAAAGTAAGATGCAAATATGGAGCTGAGCTCCATACAAATATGAGACACAAAAGTCATACAACTTAACAATGTAGGCTTTAAACCCAGACCAAGGCCAAAGGGGCTGGCCCTAATTCTAACTGGGCAATGGGGAAAAGAATTTGAAAAAATAAAAAGCAGAATCAGTCCTTTTTGAATTCCTAATAACTAGGGCTTTCTAGTATCTTTTTCCATATATATATATATATATATATATATATATATATATACTTAAAGATCATTTTTTATTTTAAAAATAGAATCAATGCACATTAAATAAAAACTAATATTAAGGTTATTTAAAATACAAGGTTGTACAAATTATAATCAACTAAATTAATTGACAAGCTCTAAATCCAGGGTACCTTGCCCTTATTTTATAACAACACAGTGGAAAAAATAACTATAGTAATCACACTCTTCCGTGGCACCCAGATGACAAGTCGACAATAGTGCACCCAAAACCAATATGTTACCTCAAGCTTGTGAGCCCTCTCCCTGCTCAGGGGCTCCAACGGAAAGCTCAAGTTATTTGCTTCTGCCAGAGACCGAAGATCAAAATAATACTTGGCATAAACACTGGAAGGAACATTGATGTTGAACTGGAGCAATTCAAGAAACTGTCGCTCTAGCTCATTCCTGCAAAGACAAAAACAGCACACATTTAGAGGCCATCCTAGGCTGCATGGGTGGTGAAGGCAAGTTGCGGGACACCAGATTCCAGAAAAGTGAGTCTCAGGAAGAAAAGGCATCTAATTAATTGCCTGGCTGGACACAAGAGTTGTAGTTTAACCACCAGATTGGTATTAAAAGCCGAATCACTTGATTGGGTGCCCACAAGGATGAGGCTTGATTAAATGAGATGATTACTTCAGGGTAATTTGTTTCACTGAGACCTAACACACACATACCAGGCTCTGGCTGCAAAAGTCAGTATGAACCATTGGGGTAGATGAAGCAGTAAAGAGATGTCAAGTGCAATCTAGTGAGGGCCTGACAGCGCAGTCCAGAGGAAAGACCTCTGCCAAATGTAGAGGATGCCTTCCCTCAATGCCCTCCCCCAGCTCCTGGGAAAAGAGAATGGAAGAGCTGCTGTAGAGGTTCCTTAGGCAAAGGAGGAAGGGAAAGTGAATAGCAGCCCCAGCCTCTCTCAAAGAAAACTCACCAACTCCAAAGAATGAAAGTCATAGTTCCTAATCCTGGGCACATACCCTATGGGACTGCAGAAAAATGACTGAGGCCACACCCAGTTTCTGATTCAGCAGGTTTGGGGTGAGCTTGAGAATGTGCACTTCTAGCAGTTTCTAACTGGACACTGATATTGCTGGTCTTAACCACACTGTGAGAACCACTCCACCATAGAGAGTGGTCAAAGAACAAACAAATGTGTTAAGATCCATATGGCCAACCCATTTATATTTGATAAAAACTAATGATGGGTAGCCACAATAAATTTTAAAACTTCTACTTTGAGAATATCCACATGTCAGTTACCTTTTAAATTAGGTCTATTTATCAACAGTTACCACCTAGAGGATGAAGAGTCCTCAGTGATCTATTCTTGAGCATTGATCCTGGGTTCAGCACTCAGTTTCGGTGACATTCCCCTCCCTACTTCTCCTTGGAAGCACCCGGTGCCCCCACAGCACACTACACAGTGCTGTATTTCTGTTCTCCCACACACTCCACTATAACTGTTGCCTTAAGTCAGTTTCCCCTACTTGTTTCCTCATAGCTAGAAACCAGGACATCTGATTTCACATGCCCAGCCCCTAGCACAGTGCCTGACACAGAGTTGGTGCTCAATGATTACTGTTAGTGAATGCAGCAACCAAGCTCAGTCTGGGCAGGGGGATCAGGGAAGGCTTCATAGGGATCATATAAATGAGAGTTGAACTGAATTAGGCAAGTGTGGAGCTCTGGTGGAGAGAACAAGGGTTGGGGTTACTTCCAGTTGTGTGGGTCCACTCAAACCACCCTCATGCTTACAGGAGACCAGGAAATGTTGTCATCATCTCCTGTGAATGGAGCTGAAAGGCCCCAGTGTCAGGCCTTATCCTTCTTGACCCAGCCTCTGCAACTCCCCTGAACAGAGCCTCCTGTATGCAGGCCCCTGAATTTTTCAAGTCTCAATCTAATGTGGTACCATCTTATTACTATGGTATCCCTGAGTCCCAGTCTGTTGCTGGGGAGCCACCCTGCTAAGCCATCAGAGACCAACAAGGTCTGTGCCCCAGTCTCATGCTACTGTAACAACAGGGGACAGAAATGCTGAGAAAGTGAGCAGAAAAGACGGGATGTGAGCACGGTGGGTAACTTTAGTGAATGAAGCTACTGGGTAAATTGAAATTAAGCAACTTCAGCAAGCCATTATCGAAGGCTTGCGTGTTACAGATGGAAAGATCAAGAAGTCACACTCAGGTCTTTTAAGAGGAAAAACAGTATAACTTGCATGATGTTTCTATACAGCCTAGTGAAAAAATGAACAAGCTCAGAGTGTATATATTGTGCTACACTTTATACTTTTATAAAATTTACATTACTTTGTTTTATTTGGGATGATTTTTATTTAATTTTTTTTAAGAGCGAGAGAAAGAGAAGGGGGGTGGAGAGAGAAACATTGATGTGAGAGAAAAACATCAATTGGTTGCCTCCTGTACCCACCCAGACCGGGTACCAAACCTGCAACCTGGGTATGTACCGTGACCAGGAATCGATCGAACTGGAGATCTTTCAGTGCACAGGGACGATGTGCAACCAACTGAGCCACACTGGCCAGGGCAGGATGATTTTTACTTTAACTGACTTTTATTCATGCCTCATTTAAATGAGATCTAATAAGAGATCTGTAAAATACTGGAACCCAGGTAAAATTTTAATAAAACAAGAATGTCAACAGATTCAAGGTGGTACAGAGTAGGCAGAAGTTACACTCACCTCCTCCCAGAACCAAAGCAGATTTATAACTAAAATACAGAAAATCAACCTGAATAACCAACTAAAAACTAGCTGAACAGAAGTCTTATAACCAAGGATTTACAGAAGAAGCCACACTGAGACTGGCAGGAAGTACGGTGATGTGAAAAGGGCTAGCCCTGCACATATGTGTGGCAGCTGATAATCCGGAAGGATAACTCAGCTACAAAGGTCCCCCCTGAGGAGCAAAGGGTCTCAACCCCATGCTGAGCTACCCAGCAGAGCACCAACCAGTCAGTACTGGGGAAACAGAGTCCACATAATATCTTGCTGTGAAAATCACTGGGGATTCTGTCTGCTAGGGGGAGACAGGAGTATATTAGAAACCCAGGTGACCAGAAAGGGTCAGTACATAAAATTTTGTTTACAGACACTCACCCTGAGCTCCAGCTGTGTCTCAGAGTGAGTCTAGGGAAAGACTGGTTTGTGTGGCTACAAGAAGGCGGCTGACGGGACAGCGACCAAGGTCCCTGTGCTGAGTCCCTTCCCACATCACCTACAGATGCCATCTTTCCTAGGTCAAGCACTCCCCTCCATATGGCATCAGCCTGGAGAACTGAAATAGCCCTACCCTCCCAAATGCCTGTGGCCCTGCCCTGCTAAGCTGAAGCCCTGTAAAGGAGTCAGCTGGCTGTGGCCAGCCTGCGCCTGTGGTGCAGACTTTCTTGGAGGGATCTTGAGGAGGTCCCACCTTGCTGGGCTCACATCTTGCAAGGGCCATGTTTTCCATATGTTTCAACCAGTGCCACCATTCCTGTGCAGAGCCCTTCCTCTGCATATCCAAGTCTATCTGTTTGAGCCTGATGAACTCTTCTGGCCTCACTCTGACACTCCCTCAGACCACACCCCACAATAAAGGTTCCGAAGGCCCTAGGTAGGCTTTGGTGTACACTACACTTTTGCTGGGTGGCCTAAGACCCAGCACTGGCACTGAGTTAGAATCTCTATCAACCTGGTGAACACCACTCACCCCCACCTGGTGACTCACTGAGATCCTATCTCACACAACTTGTACCACCAGAGGCTCTTTCAGTGACTGAGCCTAGTGGGCAACTAAGAGGTAGAGGCGAATCTTGGGGTGTCTTAGGCCTTTTGCTGACCTGCTCCTGAACTCAGTGCTGGTGGAAGCAGGCTTTGGAACACAGCTTGGCCCCTCCCACATGCACCCCAGCCCAGCAGAGGCAGCCACAAACTGTAGATTGCTTTGTAGCTCCAAAAAGGTAGCCCAGGGATGCACACAGGTACCTTCCGAGATTGACCTTAATTGGAGTCCCTTCCAAGAGGCCCCAGAAACAATACAACCAGTAATGGGCTTCAGACAACATCAGAGCATGACCCAATTAGCTCCACAAGTGTCATATCCAAAGGGAGATCTCTACAGGCACCAGACCTTGCTGAGGCAAATTCCACTTCACCCACATAGCAGCTCATACACTGTGGTCAGGGTCAATCCTCACAGTCAGCCATGCTGAGGATTGACACCACCCATGAACAGGCCAGCAGCAATCAAGACTAAACTACACCAGGAGGATGCACATAACCCACACAAGGGTCATTCCTGGAGCACCTAGATCAGGTAATTAGAGAGCTATGTCACTGAGCCCCACAAGACACCTACTGTATTAAGGCCACCTTACCAAGACTGGGAGAAATAACAGAAGTTGACAACAAGATCTACCTAATACACAAAAATAAATACAGAGAGGCAGCCAAACATGGGAAGAAAAAAAAACAAACAAATCCAGGTACGTGTCCTTGACCAGGAATCTAACCCACAACCCTTCAGTTCACAGGCCAACGCTCTATTCATTGAACCATACCAACCAGAGCAGACCTAGAGGTTTTTACACTAAGTGAAATAAGTCAGTCAGAGAAAGACTAGTATCACATGATTTCCCTTAAATGTGGAATCCAAAAAAAACAAAATAAATGAACAACCAAAACAGAAACAAACTCACAGATATATCAAATAAATCGATGGTTGCCAGATGGGAGGATGGCTGAGGGACTATGTGAAAAAGGTGAAGGAATTAAGAAGTATAAATTGGTCATAATAAAAACAGTCACAGGGATGTAAAATACAACATAGGGAATATAGTCAATGATACTATAATAACTATGTATAGTGCCAGATAGGTACTAGACTTATTGGGGTGATCATCTCATAAATTATACAAATGTCTAATCAATATGTTGTACAACTGAAACTAATACTGTATTTGAAAAAAAGTATTTAAAAAAAAATAAATGTTCTACTTTCCACAAAACACTGAAAAACTCAATTTGGTCACCTTCTTTGCCACTTTACAACAAGAATCATCTTAGCCTCCAGTGTCCAATAGCATATTCCTCATCTCTGACCTATCACTTCACAAGCACCTTTAACATTTGTTTCTGGTGACATTCTGTTTATATAAACTCTAAGATTACAGAAGTCTCCTCTATAACTCCTCTCTTTTCTTGCTGAGTCCTTACCAGAACTGCCTTTAACACTGTATTTCTATTTATCATCTCTTTGCAGCAATCTAGGGTTTTTCTAACATGAGCCTCAAAACTCTTCTCCCATTACCCAGTTCTAAAGCTGCTTCCACATCTTAAAGTATTTATTACAGTAGCACTCCACTTCCCAATACCAAAATCTACATTATTCTCTGGTTTGTTAT